TGATAATGTTAAACTGAGCCCATAGCCATCATTCTGCAAGCATTTTTCCTCTATAAGATATGAAAGTATATGACTGGAGATAACCGAATAAAACTGTCCTCTCACCGACTCGGTTCACTCCTTGCATTTTGCTGTGCAGTGATAATGGTGATGATGATGTGGAGCTTCGTACAGTAGTTCAGTTCAGCTTTTACAACCGTTAACCATGCACCTTCGTGCTCCGGTTTTGGTTAAAAGAGCAGAATGAAGATTTGAACGATGAAAGCGAATTCAAGCGGAAGGTGGAGGATTCATATAGAGTGGTGTTAGGAGAATGAGTGGATGCACGAGCACCACTGTTTGCGACACTCAGCCATTTCACTCAATGCCTCTAACCATCGGTTACAATCATTCCGAGGTCCCCAGCCAGGGAACCTAACGGGACCTATGTGACCCAGACTCCTGGTTAGGGTTTCTATACCCTCATGCCATGTTTTAGCTTGACCACCCTTGGCTCTATTCCACCCACTACCTGCCTCGGAAAACATCGCTCGCCATGGCAACCTATTTGGTGGCATGCGTAACACATGCCCCAACCAACGTAATCTATGGAGGTCGACCACTTACTCCAGTGGACGATCACGATTACCTAAAACTCTACGCCTAACCTCAGCATTGCTCGTCTGGTTACCCCTTCAGATTCGTGCAATGCGACGTAGACAGCCCTGTTCAAACATCGACAATCTATTGTTATCCTGTTCCCTTAGTGGCCAAGTGTCTGCGCCATAGAGCAGGACTGACCGAACTGTTGTAGCATATACTCGACCCTTCACAGACAGCCGGATGTTGCATGGTGGCTCAAAAATACCTCCTCGCAGATGCCATCAAATGTCACGACCATTGGTTTTGTTGCATTTTCTTTTATTGTTTATCTATCTGTTCGTAAGATGTACCGTTCTTAACATTTTGAACTCGTTTTCTAATTGATTTTGACGTGCAAAACAGCAATCGAGGCTTCAGTGTTCAAAACCTCGGTATTGGTTGTGAAATTAAACTAGTCCCACAAACCTGAGCACTGCGAATATGTTTGTCTTTTTTCAATTCAGCATCAAATAAAAAGCTGGTACCAACCAAAATTCTTCTTCACCATAAACATAGACCAACTAGTCGTTTTCCTTGACGCTTTCGGTTTGTCGTGCGTTCCTGAGAGATGGCCATTTGTCCATCTTCCACCTGAATGTGCTTTCATCATTCAAATCTTCATCCTTCTCTTTTATCCAAATGGGCGTATAAAAGACAACAACCAAACCCGGCGCACGAAACTACATGGTTCATGGTTGTAAAAACAGAATCTGAAACTGATATAGTCCTACTCTGCGTGTACCCTTTTTCAATTATTCTGGTTTGATGAGAAATGACAACCGACCAGTTAGGCAGTATTTGGGACGCCAACCTAGAAGATGAGGGACACCTGTACTACTTAATACCTCTCCACACCTCGTCTTCACGTCGTCCATTAATATCCACGTGGTGTTCTCCATCCTGGATCGGCAACTAGGAATAAGGCGCCTTGTGGTGGGTGAAGTATATCCTAACCAGCAAAGCCTATTGGGTAAACTATGCTTCTAAATTCTTTTCGATGAATTTATCCTCGATACATTGTCAGACAGGTGGCGACTTATATCTACGTTACTAATCTGCTCACTCCATTCCGGTTAACCAATCATTCTATTTGGAGTGCCGAGCCGTATAGTTTCGTAACATCACTTATCCGAATGCAACGTAAGAATTCCTATTGTGTCAGTATGTTACTTGTAATCTGCAGTGCATCGTTTATGGTAGTAAAAACTGAAACTGATCGTTTATCGTCGCCTGCTATGGTTTACCAAGTTTTCTGTCGGTTCATTTTCAATCGCTTGTCAGGAATACCCTTTTAAACGAAGAAGTCGTTCGCTTTTTGAGCAATTCGGATGAAGTAATATTTTGGGGCTGCAACATCAAATCTCCCGAGGGCTACCGCGTGTCCAGAACGCTCCGGGAACATACCTACCCATTCGTCGGTGTGATTGGTCTGACCAATTTAGCAGGTTAGTTTATTCCCACCATATGCAATTTAGTTGGGCTCATTGTCCCAGAAATCGCCCGTAACTTTGCTTACGGTGTTGGTTTTGAAGTGAACCATTTGTTGCACACAACTCCACGTATCCTCTGTGTTTTGAACTCTTCTTCACTTTGTACAATGAACAGTTTCTGGATGAATCGAATGAAATCCCCTAAAAGCATGCCATTCGTCATCATTGTACGACGAAATACAATGAAGTGAACGCCACTGTTCACTGCCAAAATCACAATCACACATACATTGTAAATGAGGCTGAGGTGGATGGGGTTCTGGCCCGTCTGGGGGAATGGCGAACGAAAACGAACATCTATATAGTCAATACCCAGGGTTCACAATCTAACTGTACATGAACGTTTTTAAGCATTCTGACCGAATCAAGTCAGTGGTAGCTTTATGTACCCGGATGGACAGATTTTCAGCATTTACACCATATTTGTGGATGCACATTTACAAAACCATATCAAATGAAACTGAGGTTGGTAGATAATGTTTTTGTCAGTGAAGCAAGCAATTACGTAATTGTATGGAAACTTTCTCTTTGTCAACAAGTAGACGTGGGAGATATGGTGAAACAGAATTACGATATGACGAGGTACGTGCAAATAAAAGTTTTTACCTTGAGCGTGTGGATGATGTTACAGCTTTTGAAAGTTCGTTGTGTTACCTGTGATGTGTATCGGAGAGTATTTTGGCAATAAAATTTCCACATGTTTGTAGGTGTCTGTCTGTCGTAGAGTCTGTAAGCATATTTCTAATGATACCACTGCATTTAGAGGTGTGTTTTACATATCTCGCCAGTAACTAAAAGTGTTCTCTCAACATACCAAGGAAATCACTGGGAAGCAGTCCAACCAGCTGGGGCGGGGATACACAAACATGCATTCACAAACCTAACAATCAACTTGTGGGAAACATAAAGTATTCGTAATCGGAGTGAGAAACATGAAAGCTTTCTAAATTTACTGAATGTATTCTGAAAATGCAGTGACTGTGATACATTCTGTGATAGCGTGACGTATTTTTTATGCATTTTTTCATACAGGCCTGAGTTCAGACTGTGCGCCAAACAAATCATAGTATAAAAAACGGAGGTCCGTGATCTGCTCGAGGGCATGGTACTGCCAGGTTTGCTAGGTCAAAGCAGTGTGACGCTAAGGTATTTTACCATTATTGATGTCGATATGGGTTCATGATTGGTCGAACGGGTAGGTAAACCTGTTTGTGCGAGCTGGATAGGTTTTAGCTTTGAACTTTTACAACCTCTTCAGGAGTAGGTGCTTCACATCCTTAAACAACATCGTCCGCGTATTTTTAGTTAATGAATGTAGAAGAAATGAGAAATTGTTTGACACGCATTGAAAAGAAGACCATGGAAAATTGCATCTTGCAGAACACAAGAAACAACCGGGAGAGTAGAAGATTTCTTGCCGTTCAGGCACATGTAATGCCTTCTATCTATGAATTTATTGCGGATCAATCTGCAAACGTTTGTAGTACCATCATTTTCAGTAACCAGGGTGGCCAATACTGACTGATCAAGACTGTCGAATACGTTTTTGTAGTCTAAGAACATTCTGACAGTCTTACGCTTCCAATATGAAGCCGAAAGTGCTGAGTGAGCAAGATAAGTAATGACATCAAGTGTTGAGCGCGAACAGCGAAACGCAAATTGATGACGTCTTCGGTAGACTCAATAGCAATCATCTCTCAAATAATTTGATCGTGGGTGACGTGCGGGTGATGGGATGGTACTTTCCGGGTTCCTTTTGGGGGGCTGGAGTAATCTTGGCCAATTTACAAATGTCAGGAAATTTTCCGCTTATCAGACAGCCAATAAATAGGTTAGATAGTGGAACTGAAAGAATGTCCGCTCAGACCTTGGTTATCACGGTTGCTAGTTCATCCGGACCAGATGCTTTTTTCATCTTTTTTTCTGTAACTGTCAGTGGATCGTGGCGGGTTCGAGTTGGTGGTGAAATAAAAGTGGCTAAGTCCGGCAGGGCTGCGAACTGTGAAAGTGGGCCAATCTCGGAACTGAGTCTTTCAAAATCACAGTTTCCTTTTTGTGTTCATTGATACTACCACACAGGCGTTTGATAGGTTTCCACATGCCACGATAATTGAATTTTCTTAGGATGGTATCTTCGTGCAATTTATTCAAACTTATTTCAGATTTGATTTAAAGTGTAGTCCGCTTGACGTAAGTTCTCTGTTCTTGATGATAGGCCTGTTCTTTCCGCCTTCGTAGCTGTTTTAGTAACAGTGATGATTATCTACCTCCATGGATGAAGACCGTTTCAAGTGGGCGACACTGGGTAAAGCAAAAGTAGAAATAGTCAGGAACATACTCACAGAGAACAGAAGTGTTCTAATCTGGGAACACCAGAAAGTCTGTAGCGCCAGCCAAGGACCTTAGCCTTTCTGAGTTCTTCGATGAACAAATCCTTTGACTGTGATGGAAATGTTTGTGATAACCAACAAAGAGCGCACTGGACAGCTGTTTCGCCCTGTTTGGGACTCGTCAGCAGTGCGTACTTTTTGTGTCCGTGTCAGTACTCGAATCGCGAACTTTCAGGTTGAGACTTCAAACCCTTACCCCTGAGCTACATGGTCGACGGTCATCACCTTGTGCAAATAGCTCAATCAGTTTTACGGTAGCAAGCTTGGATTAGCCCATGGGTATAGACACTTACCGCTAATATGCTCCAACCAATATGGATGAGGTTCAAATCAGTTTAGGAGTAGGCCAAACGATCGCCATACTTTCATACAATAGCCATAATTCTTCGTCATGAGCCGTGGTAGCGCAGTGGCTTAGTTACTGTCACCGGCGTACTTTGCACTCTACTGCCCGACTCTCGAGCCCCTCCTAACTTTGGTTATCCTTGTTATCCTTCTGGTAGCGATTGCAACATTATCGCTTCTTCTCTCGGTCCACCGAGCACTTCGATTAGTTTCTACAAATCACGTGGATCAGCACAGGCAGCACTATGTCACTTTGTTTTGCAACATAAGAAGGTTGTTATCCGCAGTGGCATTAACAGGGAAGTTGAAAAGATGAAAACAAAAATAACTTCGGCAGTCTTAGTGGCACGGTGGTTTAGTCCCTGTCATCGGTGTGCTTAAGACCGAGGTTCCAAGGTTCGAGCCCAGCCACCACTACCCAACTGTGGTGGTAAGCAGCTATGTTGTCGTTCGGTTCAATATCACGCTATCGGGGCCTTATGTGGTTCGCCACTCCAAGTCCCGGGGCTTAGGTTACCAGTTTCGATCACTGATCAGCAGGTCCTCGTGACTATGGGGTTCACCTCGTCTATTCCTCACCAAGGTGTGTAATAAGAGAAACTTAATTGTTTGGAGATATCTGTTTGACGACGTTTGCCAAAAATGTGTGATTACACATTAAGGCTGATCTCATTTGTGTCATTTACGGTTTATTCTCAGCTGCGGATCATGGCCCCTATCCAATGACCAATGTGGGTATGGCTTTACTCGGACGGATTGAGGGTGCCGTATCCCCGATTGAATTAATTCAACAACTACGGAGTATACTTCAAGAACATCAAGGAGCCACACTGGCCGCTCGAATGGATCGGTAAGTGTACCTACTGTTCAGATGATGGTCCAGTTGAGTCATCCATGGATTTATGTGCAACAGTTTCTCTGAAACTATCCATTTTGAACTCCATCACTCCGTTGTTCGATTGTTTGTATGGTATGATGCGTTATTCTGAGCTTTCTACTCGTGCATGGTGAAGTGGTTCGTCAAATAGGAATAGTTCATAGATCTCCTCGTTTATCCGCCACCTACAGGAATGCCTTTATGAAAGTTTCCACAATCCCCTTGGTCTGATCATTTGACTGCGTTTCAATCGTTAATGATCACGAGCGCTGCATTTGGAGTAGTTGACAAAAGTGACTAAAGCGCAGAGTCGTGAGTTAGAAACCATCGCCTGAGATGCTTAGTTCTAGTAGCCCCTGTACCTAATTGACGTTCGGTAGTAGTGGTTCATAGAAACTGTTTCTCGGGTCCAGACAGAAAGAACACCAGGGCTTGGTAATCTACCGGCGCCACGGATAGAGCATGGATAACCAAATATTCCATACCTCAAGTAATAAGTCAACCCGATCTCCACTTCAGTTTTCATGGCCAATAATGATGCAATTTCATGCGCCAATGTTGGTGTCTCATGGCTGACTGAAAGTGTTTACGGGATATTCAAATCATTGTCAAAGTGAGAATATAGAATCATTGAAGACTAAGGTTGTAAAGATATTGAGTAGATGTACGATTGCCGCTGTGTAATATACTCAACGTCTTTAGCCATCGAGCACAATGCACCCGAGGTCCCCATCCCGGAATCTAACGTGACCTATGTGAACAAGTTTCCTGGTCAGGGTTTTCATACCCTCATGCTAGGTCTGGGTTTGACCATCCTTTTTCTCACACATCACCTGCCTCGCAAACAGCACACTGTGGCAATCTATTGGTTGTTATACATAACACATGTCCCAACCGACCTATTCTTTGGGGGTTGACCACTTATTCCAGTGGGCGACTGCGGTTACCTAAAACATCGTGCCCAAACTTCAGTATTGTTTGTCTGATTTCCCAACCGGATCCGTGCTATGCGGCGTGGACTCGGTGTCCGTACATCGGCAGTCCAACCTTATCTTGTTTTCGTGATGGCAAGATCTCTGTGCTGTACAGAAAAACTGGTCGATTTGCTGCAACATACACTACTCAAGTGGGATCCCTGGACGAATCAGAGAGGTTACTTAGTGGTCCGCATGCAATCCCAACCAACAGGACTGACAACGGAGAACGCCTACTC